TCTCATCTGGAGCTCACTGTCTCATCTGGAGCTCACTGTCTCATCTGGAGCTCACTGTCTCATCTGTAACTCACCGTCTCATCTGGAGCTCACTGTCTCATCTGGAGATCACCGTCTCATCTGGAGATCACCGTCTCATCTGGAGCTCACTGTCTCATCTGGAGCTCACTGTCTCATCTGGAGCTCACTGTCTCATCTGGAGCTCACTGTCTCATCTGGAGCTCACTGTCTCATCTGGAGATCACTGTCTCATCTGGAGCTCACTGTCTCATCTGGAGCTCACTGTCTCATCTGGAGCTCACTGTCTCATCTGGAGCTCACTGTCTCATCTGTAGCTCACTGTCTCATCTGGAGCTCACTGTCTCATCTGTAGCTCACTGTCTCATCTGGAGCTCACTGTCTCATCTGGAGATCACTGTCTCATCTGGAGATCACTGTCTCATCTGGAGCTCACTGTTTCATCTGGAGCTCACTGTCTCCTCTGGAGCTCACTGTCTCATCTGGAGCTCACTGTCTCATCTGGAGCTCGCTGTCTCATCTGTAGCTCACTGTCTCATCTGGAGCTCACTGTCTCATCTGGAGATCACCGTCTCATCTGGAGATCACTGTCTCATCTGGAGCTCGCTGTCTCATCTGGAGCTCACTGTCTCATCTGGAGCTCACCGTCTCATCTGGAGCTCACCGTCTCATCTGGAGCTCACTGTCTCATCTAGAGCTCACCGTCTCATCTGGAGCTCACCGTCTCATCTGGAGCTCACTGTCTCATCTGGAGCTCACTGTCTCATCTGGAACTCACTGTCTCATCTGGAGCTCACTGTCTCATCTGGAGCTCACTGTCTCATCTGGAGCTCACTGTCTCATCTGGAGCTCACTGTCTCATCTGGAGCTCACTGTCTCATCTGGAACTCACTGTCTCATCTGGAGCTCACTGTCTCATCTGGAGCTCACTGTCTCATCTGGAGCTCACCGTCTCATCTGGAGCTCACTGTCTCATCTGTAACTCACCGTCTCATCTGGAGCTCACTGTCTCATCTGGAGCTCACTGTCTCATCTGGAGCTCACTGTCTCATCTGGAGCTCACTGTCTCATCTGGAGCTCACTGTCTCATCTGGAGCTCACTGTCTCATCTGGAGCTCACTGTCTCATCTGGAGCTCACTGTCTCATCTGGAGCTCACTGTCTCATCTGTAGCTCACTGTCTCATCTGGAGCTCACTGTCTCATCTGGAGCTCACCGTCTCATCTGGAGCTCACCGTCTCATCTGGAGCTCACTGTTTCATCTGGAGCTCACTGTCTCATCTGGAGCTCACTGTCTCATCTGGAGCTCACTGTCTCATCTGGAGCTCACTGTCTCATCTGGAGCTCACTGTCTCATCTGTAGCTCACTGTCTCATCTGGAGCTCACTGTCTCATCTGGAGCTCACTGTCTCATCTGGAGCTCACTGTCTCATCTGGAGCTCACTGTCTCATCTGGAGCTCACTGTCTCATCTGGAGCTCACTGTCTCATCTGGAGCTCACTGTCTCATCTGGAGCTCACTGTCTCATCTGTAGCTCACTGTCTCATCTGGAGCTCACTGTCTCATCTGGAGCTCACTGTCTCATCTGGAGCCCACTGTCTCATCTGGAGCTCACCGTCTCATCTGGAGCTCACTGTCTCATCTGGAGCTCGCTGTCTCATCTGGAGCTCACTGTCTCATCTGGAGCTCACTGTCTCATCTGGAGCTCACTGTCTCATCTGGAGCTCACTGTCTCATCTGGAGCTCACTGTCTCATCTGGAGCTCACTGTCTCATCTGGAGCTCACTGTCTCATCTGGAGCTCACTGTCTCATCTGGAGCTCACTGTCTCATCTGGAGCTCACCGTCTCATCTGGAGCTCACTGTTTCATCTGGAGTTCCCCTTTGAGTATTTAATGTTCCAAACATTAGTTGAGGGACTGGACTACCGATTATTGGTTGATTGCTTTTGGCAACAGTCAGAGGGAGATCAAATAGAACAACTGTCAAGCTATAATGGTAGACGTCGAATTGTTCTTCAAGGTTCAAAAGGTGTTATACTTTGACCATGATTCGGCAAATACTCTCACCTCATTAATAAACTTTTCAGCGCGTGTTAGGCTGGTACGTGGCAATGATTTGGCGGTTACTCGCTGTCTGAATTAAAATATAATATGCCAGGCGGGTAAATGTAGCATTTTATGCCGAGTTTTAATAAAATATTAGATTAAAACATAATGACGTGGACCATGTGGTTTAATCTTTGCAGCACGTGACAAACCTTTTAAGTTATAGTGACTTGGCACATATTTCCATTTTCCATTATTCAGTTGCAGCAGTCGTGGAATCGCAATGTTTGGGGGATAGCTGTAATATATATAAGTAGTTGTTCTGAAAACGAATTAAATCTACAGGTTTCAGAGCTAGGACTCAGACAGGGAGGCCAGGTGGAGGGTATAGTTACAATCATTTAGCTGCTGAGTTTGGAGGGACGTGGTCTGAGCAATGAAAGGGACCTCCTCTCTGAGCAATGAAAGGGACCTCCTCTCTGAGTAATGAAAGGGACCTCCTCTCTGAGCAATGAAAGGGACCTCCTCTCTGAGCAATGAAAGGGATCGGGACCTCCTCGCTGAGCAATGAAAGGGACCTCCTTGCTGAGCAATGAAAGGGACCTCCTCGCTGAGCAATGAAAGGGACCTCCTCTCTGAGCAATGAAAGGGACCTCCTCTCTGAGTAATGAAAGGGACCTCCTCTCTGAGCAATGAAAGGGACCTCCTTGCTGAGCAATGAAAGGGACCTCCTCTCTGAGCAATGAAAGGGACCTCCTCTCTGAGTAATGAAAGGGACCTCCTCTCTGAGCAATGAAAGGGACCTCCTTGCTGAGCAATGAAAGGGACCTCCTTGCTGCTCATTTCAGGGAGATATGTCAAAATGGCATGTTGGGCGAAGCGGGGCAGCCTAATCAAATATATCGCTCAATCCGTTTAGATTATAGTCACCAGGTACATATTTCCAATTTTCAGGCATAACTTAATCGCAGGGGTTGCGATATATAAGCAAATGTTAAACTCATTAGTTTAGCTCAGGCAGTATAGTGAACCCCAGGTTTTTAGTAGATTTTGCGATGAAAATGACTATTAACTGTTCTTTTATCACAATTTGACGTCAATATATTTGACATTGCTACTTCTTTCCGATTTATCGATCATTATATACCGAGGATTACTCCACGGTGATAACGATGTGTGCAAATCGATCGATTTTTCAATTTCCTCAACGTTTTGATGGGTCAAATTTGGTGGGTTTTTGACAAACTCTGTAAATTCCCCCGAATGATTGCATATCAATATCATATACCTTACGAGACATATTTATATTCGACATAATTCCGGTAACCTAAATGATTTGGGAACAAAAATATAGGATTTTTTGCCGAAAACCACCGCATTTCGTACCCCAAATTAAATCATGGTATTTGGGGATTTTTTTCAAACGAAGCTCTGTATAAGAAATGTAACAGCAGACCACTCAGTGAGAGAGTTGTGTACTCACGTTGGAAAATGTTTGGTCATATACTTCGTAGTGCCAGCAACTCCCCAGCGTTATGTTCAATATTTTTTGCAGTTGAGAGTATGAGGGATATGAAGGGTCGTGTCGGGAGACACCAATGTAATTTATTAAAAACTCTTAAAAATGACTTATCAGATAGATACATTAAACTTGTAAATACAGAAGACATTTATAATTTGATTTTTTAGCCCAAGACAGACCTAATAGTGGAGAAAGTTATTTTAGTTTTAGTAGGTTACTTATCAGATTTTTAATTTGTTTATACAATTTATTTATTTGAATAAAGTTTTATAATAATAATATATGGGGATTTTTTCATTTCTTTATTTTACAAAAATAAAACCCAATATTTGTGAAAATCAATAAAATAAAACATGAAATTTGAAAGTCAATTTCTTCTCGATCTTCTTAGGGACGTTTGTCTCTCCAGTGTAGTCCCAGGTGTAGTCTCCAGTGTAGTCCCAGGTGTAGTCTCCAGTGTAGTCACAGGTGTAGGCACCTCTAACAAGCTGTTACGTCTTATAAACAGTTTCTCAAGCGCCTTTGAAAGACCGCAGGTGTTTGTTATCCTCCACCACTCCCGAAATTACCGCCGTGGCAAATGAAATAGTAGCAGAGCTTGCTGAGTTTTTATGGAACGTGTCCAACCGTCATGAATCATATTTATAACTTACTAAATTGATTATTGATAGTAAATCGACAAAGAAAATACGCGAAAAATAATTTGGGGAAAATAATGATGGTGACCTAAATTTTGGTAGCCCGAAAAAATTTTTCGGAAAACCACCGACTTTCGTACCTTTTAAATATGTCTCGTAAGGTATTGCTATACTATACGTCATTATTATGTGGCGAATCAAATTATAAATCTGTCAAATATAGTTAAAACCCTATAGATGTGGATTCTAGGTGAGACACATTTTTTGACAGGTGACAGCAATAAACCAATCAGCTTCCACTATTGACCAATAATACCCCAGAATCAATGTCACGTCTCAAGAAAATATGCCTCACCTAGAATTCACAACTATTAACCGAGAAATATTTACTGGTGCTTATAATAATAAATCAAATCTAGATTCATCTGACTAATTTGATTTTCACGTGACGCACGAAAGATATCATAAAAATGCGAAATCAAGACATGGTTAAATAAAATGTTGGTCAACGAAACGGCCACAAGAAACCGATTGCTTCATCAGAATGTTTTGGGTCTATAGATTGAAAAAAAAGATACTGATTCATCACTGAACATGCGAGTGTTACTACAGTGTTTAATAAAGTACATTGCAAAATTATAGGATAGACAGACATTTATAAAATGTAACAGTTGGAACGGACGAACACGCGTACACATTAAAAGCAAGAAAAATAATTAAGAAAACACGGACAAACAAACGACAAAGCAGACGAACAAGTGACAAAGCATCCTAACCTCAGTTTCATCTTCAACCTCCGAGGCTGCAATCTTGAGTCTGGCCAGAATGTTATGGGGAGCGTAGTGGTCAGCCAGAGCTTGTTGCTGTTGTTGAAGATCGCTCAGCTCGTTTCGCTTTGACTCCAACTCTGAGTACTGAAAATATTGATTTGTAATTAATTAATCGATTTTTAATTATTCAATTTAAGTTAATAAGGTATATAAATTGAAACGGTAGTAGTTTGTATCATCAGTATGGAGAGGACACAGCTGAGCTGGAAACATTATTGGTGCTAGGATAAGCTTAATATAATAAGCTTATGCCTTATGAGCTTTATTTCGTGTATGAAATATTTAAATCTTATAATTGGAAAGCAAGGTTAAGTTTTGAACGAGGAAAACACTAGGATAAAATATTAAGATCGAACTGTTAGAAATTAAATTACAGTTTAGCTAACATTAAAAATTGTGGTGTCAGCGACATGGATTGAACCAGATAAAACCAATCAAACCAAACAAAATTCAATCAAACAAGATGAAAATCAGCCAAAATCAATCAAATAGACATATCTAACCGATTTAAAATTCAACTTAATTTTATTAGCTACTAATCTATAGTCATCACAAAATGTTAATTCTTCTATAATGCTAATGTAATAGATATCAAGACGTAAATTCTACAAAAACACACAAGAACGACCAAACATTTTCCGGCACAACGCAATTCCGGCTGTATATTGTCCCGGTCTGTCTATTTCCTAAGAAGATAATGGAAACACCAGAGCCGGAAGAAGTATAGATGATAAGGTAGCTCAACTTTTAATGGGAGTTTCATCTCCAGTGCAGTGGACATGTTTTTGCAAAAACTTGATACTTGTACTATGGTTTAGTATGAAAGCTATCTAATTTAACGTGATGATATCAAACATATTTGACCTTTGGGTGGCCTTAAAGTCAAAGCAAAGCGAAATCAGGAAAATTCAACAAAACCTTCGTTATCCATCAAAGCGCACACTTACATTGCACATTCTAATCAAACAAAGTTGTAATCGTCAATTTGGAGACAAGATTAAGTAGGTTCAGGCATGAACTTGCTCAAGGCATAAGTTCTAGCCATCCTAAATCAGTTGCAGGCATGAACTTGCTCAAGGCATAAGTTCTAGCCATCCTAAATCAGTTGCAGGCATGAACTTGCTCAAGGCATAAGTTCTAGCCATCCTAAATCAGTTAGGTGCAGACATGAACTTCCTCAAGGCATAAGTTCTAGCCATCCTAAATCAGTTAGGTGCAGGCATGAACTTGCTCAAGGTATAAGTTCTAGCCATCCTAAATCAGTTAGGTGCAGGCATGAACTTGCTCAAGGCATAAGTTCTAGCCATCCTAAATCAGTCAGGTGCAGGCAAGAACTTGCTCAAGGCATAAGTTCTAGCCATCCTAAATCAGTTAGGTGCAGGCATGAACTTCCTCAAGGCATAAGTTCTAGCCATCCTAAATCAGTTAGGTGCAGGCAAGAACTTCCTCAAGGCATAAGTTCTAGCCATCCTAAATCAGTCAGGTGCAGGCAAGAACTTGCTCAAGGTATAAGTTCTAGCCATCCTAAATCAGTTAGGTGCAGGCATGAACTTGCTCAAGGCATAAGTTCTAGCCATCCTAAATCAGTTAGGTGCAGGCATGAACTTCCTCAAGGCATAAGTTCTAGCCATCCTAAATCAGTTAGGTGCAGGCATGAACTTCCTCAAGGCATAAGTTCTAGCCATCCTAAATCAGTTGCCTTGCAGCAGTATTTGGCACAGCTTATCACACAGAACAAGATAAATTCAATAATAGTAAACACGCTGGCCCCCAGGAACAGTCCAAGTACCCCTCCTACGTCACCGAAAAGGTTGCCAAGATCGTAAGTAATGACTTCATTGACCTGAGTTTTTTGCATGCTGGTGAAAAGGATCTCAACAACCATAAGATTCTTGAAGATGTCGTCAGGGGTGGAATAGGTCACGTTATAGTCAGGTTGTGAAAACCCTTGCAAAAATCCACCAACGTTTTTATGAACACCATCGACCCAGTTGTCTGAAATGGTGGCACTGCTGATGGAGGCTTCGTAGTTCTTCTCCTCGCAAGCAGTGTCACACACGCATTCATTTTCTTCACCGCCTTTCTTTTTATCTTCTGTATTGGTGTAGTTTCCATACCACTCAAGGTAGGTAGACAGCCCACAACTGGCCCACTTTTCAAAAGAACAAGCCTTGTACTTACCCTCGTTGTTAGGAGGTAAGACTTGGACACAGCCGCACCTTTCGTGGAGTGTCCTATCTTTACATTCTTGAAGACAAGCTCCCTCATTGTATATACCGTATGTGGTATTTACAAGAGACGCGTTGCAGCTTTCGGCCTTATGTTTATTTCTCAGTGTGACCCTGAGTCCCAGATCAACTTTGTAATAAGTCCCTGGACTCATCAAGAAGCCAGAAAAAATGGTTGAACCGTATGTTTCGTGGTCATGAAATACTACGTTAAATCCATGGGTTACACTATCAGATGACCGTTTGGAGTAGTCTTGGATGTCAGCCCAAAACATAAGGGTCAGAGCACCATAATCGCCCATCTTGCCTCTTAACGTGCCTTGAGGGTTAACTCTCCAGCATTTCCCAGAGCTTGAAGTCGGCATGGTAACGTAATGTGCCACACCATCAATTGGAACACCATATTCATCCTTCTCCATAAACGATTCCATTTGACCACAGTGCTGGTTTTTTTGCATACATTTTAACAGTCTGTTTGGTGAAGGGCCACCATTTTGGAACAAACTTTCGTAAGTTTCGTTCCTGATAGCGAACATCTCGTCATTCGGATCATTCAACCTGTTGGCCAGTTCTTTGGCCTGTTTTGCGTTGTATTGGTCGATAATGTTGAAGTAATCCTTGTACAGTCTGTTTTCTTCATTTTCAAGGTATGATTTTCTGACTTTATTCATGGAGCAAACAGTAATGGTGGGAAATTTGATGCCTTTCTTTTCACTTTCGTTATCATCCACAACGACCTCGAACTTTGTACCGGTCGGTTTATTAACGAACATGAGTATCTTGGTACAGATGATGTAGCAAGCGTAGATCGAGAAGGCAATCCACAGAAGGAGAAAGAAGACTTTAAGGAGTTTCCGAGGGCTTTCGAATATAAATTTTATTCCATGGGCACTAGTATCCGCTGAAAACTCGCGAATGTCACTCATGAAGGAAGTCTTTTTTTGAAGATTGTCCCAAACTGTTTCTTTACGCTGAAGCTGCCTAGGACCCGGTCTTGGAGGAGCTCCATTTTTATTCATCACTAGGTAGCATTAACTCATTACAATAAATTGTATACAGTAAATTTGTATATTGTATATTGTAAAAGATATTTTCTTTGCAAATAAATATCGTCGGTAAAAAATGCGGCGAAAAATAATAGGGTCAAGGCAAGAGCCCGTGGAGAGAACATGAAAGTTATTTTTATACAACACGATAATAATATTAGTAATGTGGATAATCCAAAACCGTAGACGTTGTATTATTGTACCACAAGCAGCCCTTAATTAAGTGGTCAACAATTTTATATTCATATTATAGCCTAGAATATAATTTATTTAATTAATTAAATGAATTAAAAGTGATGATCTCGAAACCTCACAGCAGTTTGTCAGCCCCTCAAACATAATAATCGAACAGTTTATGATTGTGAATGTACTATGTAATAACAGTCACATTGCATTTTTAGCACACAGGAATATAACACATTAAATTTTAAAAACGAGTATAACATAACAGCAATACCGCAGTTCAGCCGCAGTACTGTGACAGGAATATCGCAGGAATATCGCAGGACTGTGGCAGTACTGTCGCAGGACTGTGGCAGGAATATCGCAAGATCGCAGTACTGTGGCAGTACTGTCGCAGTACTGTGGCAGGACTGTGGCAGGACTGTGGCAGGACTGTCGCAGGACTGTCGCAGGACTGTGGCAGGACTGTGGCAGGACTGTGGCAGGACTGTCGCAGGACTGTCGCAGGACTGTGGCAGGACTGTCGCAGGACTGTCGCAGGACTGTGGCAGGACTGTGGCAGGACTGTGGCAGGACTGTCGCAGGACTGTGGCAGGAATATCGCAGGAATATCGCAGGACTGTGGCAGTACTGTCGCAGGACTGTGGCAGGAATATCGCAAGATCGCAGTACTGTGGCAGTACTGTCGCAGTACTGTGGCAGGACTGTGGCAGGACTGTGGCAGGACTGTGGCAGGACTGTGGCAGGACTGTCGCAGGACTGTGGCAGGACTGTGGCAGGACTGTGGCAGGACTGTCGCAGGACTGTCGCAGGACTGTGGCAGGAATATCGCAAGATCGCAGGACTGTCGCAGGACTGTCGCAGGACTGTGGCAGTTCTGTTGTCGACGAAATATTGTACGCCCAAGTTACGTCTAGACATTGTACTATAGAAATTTAATTTTCCGCATTCGAACTTACGACAAGCATTGTAAAATAGTTAGGATGAATTATGAAAAAGTTGGCTATTTTGTCTTAAAAACCCGGATCCATTGTGCTGCGAGATACTTCGACACGGACCAAAATTTTGACAATCAATCTGGGGGAGTTTCAAATTGGATTATGAATGAACTCATTAAAGTTAAACCCCGCAGCTAATACTAGCATTAAAATACCGATCTCCCTCTTCTTTAATCAAGGAAGTCGACGGAATTATAGTTCATTGTCGTGCAGGTACGGTAGGTGATTGTTATACAATGGATGGTCATTATATCACCTATTGAAGCCACTTGATTATACCAAAGTGAAAATTTTCCAGGAGACACGTACTGCGTTATATACTGTCTCCTGGCAAGGTATGATTAAATTTAAACTATTTGTGGTGTAGCTGAATTTATAAAGGAAATAATGTGGTGATATTTTGACACACCGTCCAATTAAGGAGGCGACAGAGAGTGACGAGAGTCACACACCGTAAGTGACCGGAACTTTCAGGAACAGTGGGACCTATAAGTCTGGCCACAGTGGACTTGTATGAGCCTTCTGTTAATTTCTAATAAAAGAATAAACCCGTCATATCTCCGCAAGCAATCCTCGCCTCCTAAATAGATCCGTGCTGGAGAGAATGCCTTGAAGAAAGGGAAATTCTAACTAACTACGAAGTCTACTGCTGCCTTTTGAAAGATGCAAAGTTTAAGATATTATGTGAAGTCTTCAAGGAATGATCCTGCCAAAGACCCAATTTCGTACAAAGGTAGTTTACCCATGAACCCCACCGGATCCTTGTAAAATTAGACGACTCTCAGTCTTTTCAAATCATTACTGGCAAACTAAGGCATTAAAGAAGCAGAATTTCGTACTGCACAACAGTTCTTCACAACGAAAGGGTTTTTTATTTAAAAAACAAAGATATGGTTTCAGTGAAATGCAAACTTATTAGTATCGAAGATATTAATTTGAAGATTGAAAAAAAAACAAGAAACCTCCCCTTTGGGAAATGAAAATTACAACAGGCAAGTCCGCCCGTCCACACTTCAATCGACAAAGGAAAAGTATGCGTCAAACATATGATGAGGAGTTTCTGAATTAATGACATATCATTTGATTATGAGGATTTCTTTTGAATTCTGTTATAGCGGATGTTTCATATTATTATAATCATATTGCTGTATTTCAACCATTATTATATCCAAGACTTCGTGACTCTAGTGTTGAAGGAGTTAAAACTGAAGGCAGGTCTTTTAGACTAATGGCTATTGACTCTGGTATTTTATCTGAGGCACTGACACAATGATCTTTCAATGATAACGGTTCAATGTAGTAATTAATACAATACCTCTCCAATTGATCCTAATTAATAATCAAGAGTCATGTCGCCAGTAAATAAGTATTTGAATGCTCTTTTTCTCCGAAATAAAGGAATAGAGTATTTTAAGGCGACTATAGTCTAGTATAGTGTAGTTATGGGCTGAGAAAATGTTTCGAGAAATTTGTTTTTTTCTTAACTCAGACATTTCTTATTTGGCGAAACTTATCTTTTTAAGAAAGCATTCAATGATAGTGCACAGCATTCCAAACAGGCCACCTATCTGTCACCAGATTATTGACAGGCGTTTATTGTTCCAATCCTAGCATATTTGAGCCGATAGGACAGTTGATGTGCAGATGAGCACAGATAACTGGTAACTGGTAACTGGTAACTGGTAACTGGTAACTGGTAACTGGTAACTGGTAACTGGTAAGCCATGACGGTACGACCCCTAATAAGCATAGAATGAGGGGCCGTAGACTCCGGGCGTTTCAGTCTGCACAATCCTCGTGAGAAATGTAAACAGAAACTGGACTGCTTCTATGAGTTGATAATTACAATCTGGCAAGGAGAATTCAAACCACAGGAACCATTTTTAATAAAGCAGAACCCTCATCCCAATAATACTACAGTCGAGGATTAATCTAAGTTATTAGTGCTTATGTAATACGCTACGTGACCAACGGCACGGTTCTGTACAACAGACTCAACTTGGGAAAGTAGCAGTACCAACATTTTTATACAAAACTAAATTCCGGAGTGTAGCACAGCAACTAGTAGTCAGACTACCTATCAATCATGTTCTAAATGCAACAAGCAAGTATAATTTTTGTGCCAAACATCTGGGTCCAGGTACGGAAACGACCAACGCCACTGTTGACTGTACCATAATTATTTATTATGCAGCCATAATGCTGCAAAGTTATGCCCGATGCCTCCATACGGCCAATGGCCGTGGAATTCATTGGTTATCTTGGAATTTAAAAGTTTGTAAATATGAATAATAAGCATTCCCAGTGACTCCATTACTCTGCTCGTGACTATTGCTTATCTTAGTCGAATAAGAAAGTATATAATGGTAAATTATTGAAAATATCAAAGCATTCCAAACAGGCCACCAATCTGTCGCCAGATTATTAACAGGCGTTTATTATTTCAATCCTAGCATATTTGAGCCGATAGAACATTAGTAGTGTAGCTGAGTCCAAGGCATGCAACCTGAAATCCGAAGTGATTGCAACCCTTACGGAAGACTATGAGTATGACTAGCTAAGAGAAGAAGACAAGCTAAGAGAAATAACTAAATATCTAATTGATAACGTTAGTGGCATAACTGAAGGCGCCATTAGTTAAATGCATAATGGGCAGTTAATGACATAACTGATTTCGTTGTGGTGGCACCATGCGTACCAGTGGTGGCACCATGCGTACCAGTGGTGGCACCATGCGTACCAGTGGTGGTAGTATTGTGACGGCATGGTAGTATTGGTTGTTTTCTCCAAACGCAAAATTTTACCGTGTAAACTTGCAACATTATCTACGTATAAGAAAATGCCAATTATTACAAAGTTTAAGTACAGATTTGAGATTGTGGTGGGGATTTAAAAAACATAAATATCTCTCAAGATGTCAAATGCTGCCCAAACTGTGAAGAATACAGGTTAAAAAATGTATCGGACTTCAACTAATAACAACAAGTTAAATGATAGGCATAAAATGTAGTAATACTAAACAGCTATTACTAACTGTAATAGCTGTATTGACTATTGGATATGCCGATTGTTTATCATGTCTTTCAGCAGCTAAACTGTCGAACAATTGATAATAATACGACAAATCTAGCGTTTGCTTATTGATAACACTATGTAAGAGTTGATTATTGATAACACTATGTAAGAGAATAATACGACAAATCTAGCGTTTGCTTATTGATAACACTATACAGTAAGAGTTGATTATTGATAACACTATGTAAGAGAAGCGTTATGATTTAATCTTGGAGATGGGTCTGTTTTGGTGAGCGATTGAGTGATTTCTTTTGCATTTCATCACGCACGCAACAAACGCGGACACAATAGATTCGGAAATTTAATGAATCTGCTGAGGATGAAAGCGTATCTTTAATCTAACACTAGATCTAGCTTATACACATCACGATCTATTTTGCCCTATCTCAATACCATAATTTTATAAATCACAATAGACATTCTTCATTTCTCTAATCTCATAAAAAAGGTTTAGTCAGGCACAACCACCTGACTCGACACAAATTGATGAAAAATTAAAGTGTCTGGTGAACGAAAAGAGCGGGCAATTTTAATTCAGCTCTTCTATTGTATCAGTCTATTTATGGGTTATATAGACAGATTTGATAACCATTAATAGTTTGACTATTTTAGAATTCCTTAAATTCAAGAGAAAAACAATGGCTACATTCCAGAATAGCCGCACAGTTTTAATCGAAAATTTACCAAAAAACCTGGTACAGTCTATAAATTTTGTTGAGATAAAGGAATGTGATGACATTTGACAAGAGCATGTGTTAACCACTAGGGCCCCAAAAATATGGAAAGTTAAAAGGTACAAAACGGAACACGTTCTAATAAGTGGATGGATAAAAATGCAGTTCTTGTTTTTAGATATAAATAGAAAGTATTCTTACCACTTATAAAAATGCAGTTCTTGTATTTAGATATCAACAAAAAGTATTCTAACCACTTATCAACGGCTAAATGAAAGAAGGAGGCTTTAAAAATAATATACCATAGAAAACATTCTTACCAGGGCAATGAGTTCCTGCTGTTTTTCCTCTAATTGCGGTTTAAGGGTGAGGTTCTCGAGGGCTAGTGTTTCGTTTCGTTCCACTATCTTCGTCCTATCTTCTTGGAGTCTGAAAACAAGCAGTTCAAACCTTTGCACCGATGTAATGCTTGCTTTTTTAAATAATCAGAAGACTGCTATTTTATATGGCTTTTACTTGAAAGGAGCATTTAGCCCACAAATTCATTCATCATATCACGTCATTATATATATGAGGATGGTCGATGCAGGAATCGTATGGCAAGATATTAAATAGGTATTTATGTTCCAGGGAAAGATTGACCAATCGAAGTGCATTTTAGGTATATTAAACCAGCTGCATGTGAATGTATTGATATTTAATAGATTCAATATTGAGGCGATATGGTATTGACCAGGGTGCCATATGTTAATGTCTGGAGAGTTGACACAGCGATGGTGTTTCGTTTAGTGAGACCGACACAACTCTTTAAAACCTTATACTCTCGTGATCTGATGGTCAGAACTATCCATTAAATTTGGATGCAATGAAGTTACCAGTGCTAGTTTTATGCATGGCGTAGTTGTCTCTTTGACTTAAGTTACTGTAACATTTAACAGGCTAGTTAAGAGAGTGCCGAGTGCCGAGTCCCGGCTTGCTTCCAAATACGAGACTAATTTCTGAAGTTCATGCTGATAACATCAGCTTCAAGGACGCACTGTGAACTCCTACATACTCATGTTCTAATCACACACTTGTGGAAAATATATTTGTAGCGCAAATCCGATTAGTGCAGCAAATTGCAGCTCTGGTTTCCTGACGTAAAATATCTCATCGTTACAGACCACTGAATCCCAGACCACAGAAGTCTTTCTGTACTTTCAATCCATTATGTAGTGGCTTTCGATTTATTCAGCTTCTACAACATTTTAATGAGGGCCTCTATTTAAGCGATTTAAAATGCTTATCTTGGGAATCAGACGTTTTCAACCGATCACAGAAATGCTTTAAGCGGTTGTAAAATTATTTTGATCGGGATAAAGATTGATTACAGAAAAGTAACATTGTAGATATTACTCAGCTTAAATGGTTCAGACGAAATCGTTTAGCTTCATGAAACCTTTCGTATTACTTAAGATTACTTATTTATCAATAACAGACAACACGAGGCCACCACTCGCAGGTTCCCACTCCAGTAATGATTTACTAATAGGAGGGCTGATGTTCCCACTCCAGTAATGGTCCACCAATAGGAGGGCTGATGTTCCCACTCCAGTAATGATTTACTAATAGGAGGGCTGATGTGAAGCTGTCAGGAAGCTGCCGTGTTCTGGGTGACATCCTCCCAATGACTTAGCACCAGGATATCGCCGTCCACAAACTTGGCCCAGAACACAGTTTAAATGAAGGCCTATGTTTAAGCGATTTTAAATGCTAGTACTGAGTTTTAAACTAATTACAACACTTAACTACAAATCTATAATATTTATTGAGTATTATGACTATGTGTCGTGATGGAAATATTTTAAGCGGGTAAAAGCCAGTTCAAACACTTGCTTCATAACACGAAGAATTTGTTTTCACTTGTATGAAAAGCACGAATAGCTAAGTAATAGCTCAGTTCCTGCACTAGAGGGACCCCAGTCAGCCCAGTAAGTAGACTTCTTACTCAGGTATCGAGGTAGAGTGGATGCCGCCCCACAAGGCAAAAACAAACAAATAAACCTTTGATGAGTTGAATCCAAATTATGATAGTAAAATCAAAACCTCTTTATATCATCTCTGCTCTCGAAATACTCCAAAACTGCTGCGTCATTGTCCATTAGCTTTTCCAATTCTTCTGTGCTGAAATAAAAGGAGAGCTGTTAGTGTTACATTTATCGGTATGATTTGAGTAACTTTGAATAGAAACAGGAGAAAAACAGGCGAGGCCCCAGTTTGAGGCGTTGTCGAAGTTAATGCTGTCTTTCAAGGCTCTGCGAAAGATTGGAATTTTTGAGCGAATCATATTTTATTAAAATCATACTTCGTTAAAAGTTTGCCTTGTCGAATATTGAATAGCTATTTTATTAAATAATTTATTAAATACCTCATAAACGTGAGAGGCGGGGCACAATTTTACGGATCAACCGTATTCCGATTCCCGATTCTAACTAAGATTTTCCTGAGTAATCTTTTACTAACAGAGCTCGTTTAATGTTTATTTACAAATAGGCTTTTCAAGCCAGTTTCAAGCTTTTTAGATACTTAATTTTCGAGAACTTATTTATTGAAAACGACGACAATCCGTACTGTATATAATACTATTTCCTTTTGTATCTTTATTAAGCATGGCTAGATGAATTGATAAAATAGTAAAACCTCATACACGTTGTTAAGCTATTAATGATTTATGACTCCTAGCCAAGTAAAAAATCTGTTCAATCTGCATCGACACCAGTGTCCACTGTTCTGGAATAGATTAGGACTTATGCGGTGTCGTATAGCGGCCAAAATTTCCTTTGACCACATTGTACAGATTTTTTTATCAACCTGTTGCTCTTTGATTTTTTGAGAAAAAAAAACATATTACAACACTAAAAATCTATTATATTTATTGAGGACGTTACAGAAGGAATTGATTTAATGTAGTCCGAGGAGTCAGAGGAGTTTTATATTTCAGTTTGTATCTCATCTTGAAAATACGATTTGGCCTCTTTGAAGAAGGCCTTTTATTGAAGGTTACATTTATTTTAAGAAGCTTTTCTCAGAAAAAGTCTTCGTGAGAAATTAATCTTATATACACCATAACTACAGTTAACCTTACTTATATACACCATAACTACAGTCAACTTTACTTATATACACCATAACTACAGTTAACTTTACTTATATACACCATAACTACAGTTAACTTTACTTATATACACCATAACTACAGTTAACTTTACTTATATACACCATAACTACAGTCAACTTTACTTATATACACCATAACTACAGTTAACTTTACTTATATACACCATAACTACAGTTAACTTTACTTATATACACCATAACTACAGTTAACTTTACTTATATACACCATAACTACAGTTAACTTTACTTATATACACCATAACTACAGTTAACTTTACTTATATACATCATAACTACAGTTAACTTTACTTATATACACCATAACTACAGTTAACTTTACTTATATACACCATAACTACAGTTAACTTTACTTATATACACCATAACTACAGTTAACTTTACTTATATACACCATAACTACAGTTAACTTTACTTATATACACCATAACTACAGTTAACTTTACTTATATACACCATAACTACAGTTAACTTTACTTATATACACCATAACTACAGTTAACTTTACTTATATACACCATAACTACAGTTAACTTTACTTATATGCACCATAACTACAGTTAACTTTACTTATATACACCATAACTACAGTTAACTTTACTTATAAACACCATAACTACTATTAACTTTACTTATATACACCATAACTACAGTAAACTTCACTTATATACACCATAACTACAGTTAACTTTACTTATATACACCATAACTACTATTAACTTTACTTATATACACCATAACTACAGTTAACTTTACTTATATACACCATAACTACAGTTAACTTTACTTATAAACACCATAACTACAGTTAACTTTACTTATATACACCATAACTACTATTAACTTTACTTATATACACCATAACTACAGTTAACTTTACTTATATACACCATAACTACAGTTAACTTTACTTATATACACCATAACTACAGTCAACTTTACTTATAAACACCATAACTACAGTTAACTTTACTTATATACACCATAACTACAGTCAACTGTAATATAATATAATATATAACAGTTAACTTATATGGGAAAAGATCGAGTTTATCATTTAAATGAGTAACATAAAGCTGACGCGAGAGTAAACGGCAGTCGACTATGCAATTATCAGAGGTAATCTTAATACCAATTGGACACTCCAAAATACTCTATTTATGAATAAAATACTTTATTTATGAATAAAATACTTTAATTCATTTATGAATAAAATAATACAGAAGAGTTATATGTAACGAGACACGAAATAATTGTTTCATCCAAACGGGGAAAAATATGGCCATAATAATATTCCACAGCCAAAGAAATAAACGGAAAATCCAGACAGTTTGGTCGGATACCTTATTTAGAACCCACCACAATTAGCCTCATCAAGATTCCCGACACCACGTGACAAGACAAAATTAGATAAACACCTGCTTGGACAACTCATAAGTGGTTCACAACCACCCCGGCGGGCCACCCGCCACGAGCGCCAGGCCTCTGATTGGCTCAATAACACGATAATATCACGTGCTATTTGCCCACGTGTGCGCGCGGGCAAATAGCACCTTTACGCTAAAAGCCATAAAGACAGAGAACTCATGAGGTATCTTATCATAGATCCTCCTGGATTTAATGGCTACCAATACCACATATGATTGTCCTGTGCCCATGTCCCCCCCCCCCCCCCCCCCCCCCATTACTGATTACCGCCTTTGTTTCGGAGCTGGCACCTATACTACTTTGATACCAATTTCACGGAGATTTTCCATTAAAAAGATATCAAGATAATATAATATGTACAAGAATATCTGGGCTTAGTGCGGATATTATCATAACAATAAATTCCGATAAGGTACACCATTTTCTTCGTAGGGGCTTTTAATATTTGCTGTTTCTTGGTAATACGCGAAGTTGTTCCTAATATTCAACTGAATCACCGTCTCAGCGGATATTTACCATTCATAGACCACACATTGATCAACCTATTGATCAACCTATTCATGCAATTCAACTACCAATCCTAGGCTATAGTACATGGTCATATATAATATAACATGATTATATTAATTTTTGGGCTCCCATCTATCGAGCCTCCTCAGAGACGGAGCCTAGATTAATCTAAAGGTTGTGAGCTTGGATCCTTTCATCTGGGTGCCCTGCCACTAAAGGTTGTGAGCTTGGATCCTTTCATCTGGGTGCCCTGCCACTAAAGGTTGTGAGCTTGGATCTTTCATCTGGGTGCCCTGCCACTAAAGGTTGTGACCTTGGATCCTTTCATCTGGGTGCCCTGCCACTAAAGGTTGTGACCTTGGATCCTTTCATCTGGGTGCCCTGCCACTAAAGGTTTTGAGCTTGGATCCTTTCATCTGGGTGCCCTGCCACTAAAGGTTGTGAGCTTGGATCCTTTCATCTGGGTGCCCTGCCACTAAAGGTTTTGAGCTTGGATCCTTTCATCTGGGTGCCCTGCCACAACTTTGTGGTTGTTGAAGTTCACTGTCAATCCTGATAATGGTGCCACCATTTCTATCAAGTTCACCACCTCCAGTATAGTTATACTAGTATAATTTGAATAAAACCCTGGTTTCACATAACCACGTGAATAGCAACTTGACTTAAAGGTTTCAATCGGTCTCAGAAATGGCTTCTTCATAAATTGTTGCTTCGTTTCCTGAGCATGATTAGCCAACACGCTTAAATTTGATACGCGTTAACGACTTGCCTATTTAAGAAATCATTTTTTAAAACGCCCATCTTAAAGTGCAAGTTATCTGATTCTATAATGTCAGCTCTTTATCATTGTCAACTAGGTGAACAAATATTTGTTTGCTGAAAATAAGGTGACAAGTGTCTGTGATGGAATAAACAAATCATTTTAATTTCTTTTCGATTGCCTTGTAGAAATAGTGTTACTATGGTAACTAGTAGTGTTACTATGGTAACTAGTAGTGTTACTATGGTAACTAGTAGTGTAACTATTTATCTCTTACCAGAATTAGAATTGTACTTTAACAGCACTGAGCACATGCGTGACGGATCTTCTAGAAATAGCGTTTGCTAAATTGATTTCTGCTCGCGTTATTGATAGATTGTCTGGTCCAATGAGACTTTGACAAATGAAAGCGAAATAGACAGAGAGGTTAACATATGGTCAACAAGCCTATAGAACGCGAATGATTAGATACTCCAGTAGTTAGTAGACGAGTTGTTCTTCCTTATTATATTTGGTTTATTAGACAGAGTTCTTTCCTCTATTTTGATTACCCAAATACCTTGCTCGAACCTTGAGCGTTAGTCACTGGTTATTCATTGGTAAATCGCACCGCTTTCCAAGTCCAACAAGGAGGTCCACATCATGTCCTATTTCAGCGGAACGCACTAACAATATTTAAATAATTTATGATTGCTGAGTGGTGTTGACTGCAGATTTTTAATAATTAAAAGCCGCTCATGTACAGTTCCCTGGAAATGAATTCCAATATAATAACAAAGTCATATCTTTAAAACGCAAGGCAAGGAACAGTTTCAATTAACCATTCCCAAAGAAATGCATATCCCCTATAAAAGTTTCAGAGTCAATATTGGGTCTGGCCGCTAAACGCTTTCCCACGACTGCATTAAAGACTGATGCCACAACCTCTGAAGCAACTAGTAGTGTAACTATGGTAACTAGTAGTGTTACTATGGTAACTAGTAGTGTAACTATGGTAAGACTGACGCCACATTCCACAACCTCAGAAATCAGAAGCAATTATCTCCCTGGCCCTGGACATTATGGATTCACTTGAAAGCATATTTCCCTCGCCAATAGCCAAGGTGTTATGAATTTTGACTGTATAATGGTGCTTGGCCCACCCAGGAAGTCCCATCATGCTAGCCAGGAGTAGCCTGTAATTTTTCTCTTACCAGATTTGTACCTTAACAACACATGCGTGACAGATCACGCGTTAGTAGTAGTTTGATAAAAACCCGCCACCCACCCTTGGGTTATTGGACAACTAAAC